TGAGAGAAGAGAGAGAGAGAGAGAGAGAGAGGAGGAGGGGGTTAGAAAATAGAGAGAAACAGAGATGAAGGGAGGAATAGTACCCAAAATGAAAAAAGAAAAAGAAAAACATAATAAGAAATAGGAAGAAAGAAGAGAGAAAATAAAGAAAACAAAAAGAGAAACAAAAGCAGAATAAGAAAGATGAGGAAGAAAGAATGCAGTAAAAAAGAAAAATGAAAACAGTGGATATCAAAATCTATGACCCATCTTTTATGTCCACTGTTGGAACAACTTCCATAAACTTTCGAATCTCGATCATTCTCATACTTCAAAATTTAGGAATCACTTATTTACCATTGTCATCATCTCCGATTGTCCTCATGATCTACCAACCATTTTAGAAAGCTGGGATCTGGAAATACAAATTTATCTCTGTTTATCTGCAATTTATTCAATTATTACTTACTTATCGCTTTTTATCTAGATTATCTAATATTTATTTATCAATTTATCTCATTTATCGCTTTTTATCATTTGATTATATATTTATTCAGTTTATTTATCTCTTTTGTTAATCATTTTATATAATTTACTCAATTTAATCTGATTATCTATTTATCAATTTATCTCTTTATCAATTATTCATTTTTCTATTTATCGCCTAATTTTTTATCATTTATTATTTTTATCTATCTATTTATCTTTTATCAATTTATCTCTTTTTATCAATTTTTTTTGTTTATTTATCTGTTTACTTATCTATTTTATCGCTTTTTTATCATTCAGTTATTTATCTTTTATCTAATTCATCGCTTTTCATGATATCTTTTATTTATCTTTTATCTTTTATCTATTCATCGCTTTTTATCATTTTTATTATTGTTTGATCTAATCTATTATCGCGTTTTATCATTATTTTTTATTATTTATCTTTTATTTATTCATCGCTTTCTTAATTATTTATTTATATTTATTTATTCTTTTATCTTCTATTATTTCATCTATTTTTCTATCCTTGCTTGCCATTTCATTTGCAACCCTCAATGCCACGAGCAGCGAGGACCACATTTACTGACACAATGAACTTTCCAAATTTGGCCCAAACACAAACGGCAGAGTTTGTTCAAAAATTCATTCATTATTTCCGGTGTTTGTCGAGAGTTTTATGGCGGGGCGGGGGAGGGGGGGTATACACAATGCGAATGTTTCCCTCTCGTTCTCTTCTTTCTTTTTTCTTTCTTTCTCTCTCTCTCTCTCTCTCTCTCTCTCTCTCCTCTCTCTCTCTCTCTCTCTCTCTTCTCTTTCTTCTTTCTTTCTCTTCTCTCTCTGACCCTGTCCTTCTTCTCTTCTTCTCTTCTCTCTCTGTCTCTCTCTCTGTCTCTCTCTCTCTCTCTTCTCTCTCTCTCTCTCTCTTTCTCTCTCTCTCTCTCTCTCTCTCTCTCCTCTCTCTCTCTCTCTCTCTCTCTCTCTCTCTCTCTCTCTCTCTCTCTCTCTCTCTTCTCTTCTCTCTCCTCTTCACTCACTCACTCAATACGTAACACTCACTCAATCCTATCCTTATATCTCATCCTATAAATAGACAAACAAATAATACTAATAAGAAAAAAGATAAATGAAATAGACAGAAAACACAAGCCAGGAAAACGACAATAAAAAAAATAAAATAAAAAAAAAAAAAAAAAGAAAAAAAATGAAGATGTATCTATATTTGCCTAAATCATGAGCCGCAAGGGAGAGGAACACCCAAAAACGGCTCCTCGTCTGAAGAAGAGGCGAGATTCCTACGATAGAAGTATTTACACCGGATTCTGGCTATATTTTCCAGCGATAAGGCGAGGCGCGTTCTGGTTCATCGAGATATAAAGGAGAGAGAGAGAGAGAGAGAGGAGAGAGAGGGAGAGAGGGGAATAGAGAGAGAGAGAGAGGGGAGAGAGAGAGAGAGAGAGAGAGAGAGAGAGAGAGATTAGAGAGAGAGAGGAGGGGCATAGAGAGAGAGAGAGAGAGAGAGAGAGAGGGAGAGAGAGGGGAAAAGAGAGGGGGGGGTGAAGAGAGAGAGTGGATGATAGAAAGGAGATGGAAAGAGAGATTATAGAGATGGGTAGAAAGGTAAAAGTGAGCGAAAAAATATGTGCCTTTTATTTTCATATATAGATTTAAAGGCTGCACCTAGCCTGACACGTGATTTTCAGCCAACTGTATTCTTGATTTCGAAATTTTGTCATCAAGAAAAAGAGAAAATGGTTACAAACGTGACTGTACTCTTTATCAAACAGATTACAAATCTCACCAGAGGGATCATTACAACACTACAATTAATTATTCCCTATAACAAAAGCCTTGATTTCATCCACTGGCTCCATGGTGGCGGTTATGAAACCCCCCCCCCCTCCCCACACACAAAAAAAGAAAAAAAAAGCCAGACTGCTGTATACGTCAAGGCGTTACATGCCAGCCAGCCTGCCTCCGCCCATCTCAGACTGCCAAGAGACTTAAGTGAGCATAAAAGCCAAGCCGGGAAGAATCGCCCTGCGGACAATGCTATCCTGACGTTTGTGATATTGCTAGGCTTGCATGGCTTCCCGTCTGAACATCGCCGTAAAAGGAGAGAAGGATTTTTTTATTGTTCCTTGGCCGGTCTATTTAGCCTTATGTGTGTTTGCTTTTCCATCGACTTCTTCATCTTGTGTTTTGTTTACCCATTTGTCAAGTTTGTGTTATGTTGTCTGTTTGTTCTTTGTGGTTATTTCGTTTTATTCGACAATCAAGCACAGTTGGCAAGATGCCAGAGAACACACGAGAAATAAAATTGTTATAATAACATGAACAATAATGTGACTAACTTGAATCCAAATTAATTAGAAAAAATAAGAGATGCAGCATCAAAGACCTCAAATAATGAACACGGAACGCAAACTACAAACAAAAAAGG